CTTTGTCTTGGGGTATTGATCTTCTTCCCACTCAACTTCATTGGCATTGTCGTTCAAAACCAACACCTTGATTCTTCCGGTGCATTCCTTGCTTGCGCACAATTTACTCGAATTGCTTACTCCCGACAAGGCTGTTGTACACTCCTTTTTCTATAATTCCCTTCAATAAGCTATTTTCTTGCTCAAGTGTAACTTGGCTAAGAGAATCATTAGTGGAATCAAGAAAACTACTAGAAGCAACAATATTGGATTTAACATGATCATTGTTACTACTAGAGGAAGAATCTTTTTTGTTAGACTTGACTTGAGGCATGTAAGTGGATAAGAGTAAACGCTTGGCAATGTAAGAAGAACTTTTCTTGCGGAGATCATCATTGATTGCTTTTAAGAACTCATGTTCTTGTTCAAGATTGAGCTTTTTAAAGCGTAATTTCTCATGAGCTCTTAAAAGTTCTCGATGATTTTTGAAGATAATGTCATGAGCTAACTTAAGAGTTTTTAGTTCTTTAGTTAGAGCCTCAATCTTCTCCTTATCATTGTCATTCGTTTTATCCTGATTAGCATGATTAATTTGTCTTTCATCATAGTATTCATCACTAGAGTTGTCAACAAGCAAATCATCACCTAACAAGTCATCTTCATCACTATTGAAATCAACATACTCGGGGTGTGTTACCTTAGGGCCTTTGGCCATGAAGCATCTTCCAATTCCCTCATTTGGTGAGTCAAATATGTCGTAGGAGTTAGTTGACACAAGTGCTAGACCGGCAACACCTTCATCTTGAGTATCTTCGGAGTCAGAGTGATAACTTCTCTCGAAGTGGCTGTCGGAGTCGGAGCCGGATACCCATTCACCAACATGAGCTTGATGTCTTCTGCTTGTGTAGCTCCTTGATGATTTTTCCTTCCTTTCCGAATCCTTGCTTCTCCGTGAGTATCTTCGTTCATAACTATCATCTCTACTCCTTCTCTCTCTTGGTGATGATCTTTTGCTTCTTCTTTTTGGAGAATCTTCTCTTCTCTTGTAGGGAGCCGTACACTCATTGGAATAGTGTCCGGGTCTTCCACAATTGTAACAGTTTCGCTCTCGACTAGAAGATCTTTTGTCATTGTAGGACCTTGACTTGGAGCTTCTATCTTTGCTTCTACTCTTGTAGAACTTGTTGAAATTCTTCACCATTAAGCTCAATTCTTCATTGAAGTCTTGTTTCTCACTCGATGATGTAGGGGCTTCACATGAGGCTTTATAGGCACCACTTGATTTGTTGTGAAGTTCCTCTTTATCCTTAAGTGACATCTCATGAGCAACAATTCTTCCAATCACCTCCGTTGTAATTGTGCATCATTTGAATCAATGTGCACACGGTATCATATTTTCCATCCAAGGCTCTTAGAATCTTCTTGATGATGAATTTATCGATCATCTCTTCACTTCCTAAGCCGGCAATCTCATTTGTGATGAGAGCAAGCCTAGAGTACATTTCGGCGACACCTTCACCATCCTTCATCTTGAACTTATCAAATTGGCTTTGAAGCACATCCAACTTGGATTCCTTGACAAAGTCGGTACCTTCGTGCATATCAATCAAAGTGTCCCAAATTTTCTTTGCATTCTCAAGGCGGCTGATTTTGTTGAATTCTTCGTGGCACAATCCGTTGAAGAGAATATCACAAGCTTGAGCATTGTATTGCAACATCTTCAACTCATCCGCGGTAACTTCACGGTTCGGTTCTCTCCCATCAAAGAAGTCACCTTGCAAACCAACACACACAATAGCCCAAACGGCGGGGTTATGTCCAAGAATATGCATTTTCATTTTATGCTCCCAACTAGCAAAATTAGTACCAGCAAAGTAAGAACCTCTACGGTGATAATTTCCCTCGCTAGACGCCATACTCTTCTAGGTTGTGAAACCAAGGCTATGACCACCAAAAGCTATGGAGATCAAGCAAATGGAGACCAAAGCTCTGATACCACGTGTAGGATCGAAAGAATGTCTAGAGGGGGGTGATTAGACTACTTGACCAAATAAAAACTTAACCTTTTCCCAATTTTAGTTCTTGGCAGATTTTAGCTAATTTAGGACAGATCAAGCAATCATCACATAATTCAAGCAAGCATGCAAAGAGTATATAGGCAGCGAAAAGTTAAGCATGCAACTTGCGAGAATGTAAAGGGAAGGGTTTGGAGAATTCAAACGCTATTAGAGACACGGATGTTTTTCCCATGGTTCGGATAGGTGGTGCTATCCTACATCCACGTTGATGGAGACTTCAACCCACGAAGGGTAACGGTTACGCGAGTCCACACAGGGCTCCACCCAAGGGTAACGGTTGCGCGAGTCCACACAGGGCTCCACCCACGAAAGGTCCACGAAGAAGCAACCACCCACAAAGGGTCCACGAAGAAGCAACCTTGTCTATCCCACCATGGCCATCACCCACACAGGACTTGCCTCACTAGCGGTAGATCTTCACGAAGTAGGCGATCTCCTTGCCCTTACAAACTCCTTGGTTCAACTCCACAATCTTGTCGGAGGCTCCCAAGTGACACCTAGCCAATCTAGGAGACACCACTCTTCAAGAAGTAACAAATGGTGTGTAGGTAATGAACTCCTTGCTCTTGTGCTTCAAATGATAGTCTCCCCAACACTCAACTCTCTCTCATAGGATTTGAATTTGATGGAAAGAGGGTTTTAGTGGAAAGCAACTTGGGAAGGCTAGAGATCAAGATTCATATGGTAGGAATGGAATGTCTTGGTCTCAACACATGAGTAGGTGGTTCTTTCTCAGAATATATGAGTTGGAATGGCGTGTGTGTTCTGATGGCTCTCTCACTGAATGAGAAGATGGGGGGTATATATAGCCTCCACACGAAATCCAACCGTTACATAGTTTTCCAATCTCGGTGGGACCGAATCAATAAACTCGGTCGGACCGAAAATGTAAACCTAGTGACCGTTAGTGATTTTCGGTGGGACTGACATGCAACTCGGTAGGACCGATATGGTTAGGGTTTGGGCATAACGTAATCTCGGTTAGACCGATTACACAAACTCGGTGAGACCGAATTTGGTAATTAGCTAACCAGAGAGTTGGTCAGGCAAACTCGGTGGGACCGATTTGCTCTTTCGGTGAGACCGGGTGAAACTCGGTGAGACCGAAAAGTTATAAAGGGGAAACACTGAGTTTACATTGCAATCTCGGTGGGACCGATTCGCTCTTTCGGTGGGACCGAAAAGTTACGAAAGGAAAACAGAGAGTTTTCAACCCCATCTCGGTGAGACCAAGATCCCTATCGGTATGACCGAATTGCTAGGGTTTGGCAGTGGCTAATGACAAGTGAAACTCGGTGGCGCCGGATAGGAAGAATCGGTAGGACCGAGTTTGGATTAGGGTTTAGGTTATATGTGGATATGGGAAAATAGTTGAGGGTTTTGGAGCATATCACTAAGCACATGAAGCAAGAGGCTCATTAAGCAACACCTCATCCCTCCTTAATAGTATTGGCTTTTCCTAAAGACTCAATGTGATCTTGGATCACTAAAATATAAAATGAAGAGTCTTGAGCTTTTGAGCTTGAGCCAATCCTTTGTCCTTAGTATTTTGAGGGTTCCACTTTCACATCCATGCCATGCCAATCATTGAGCTTTTCTGAAATAATCATCTTGAAATAGTATTAGCTCAATGAGTTATATGTTGTTATGAATTACCAAAACCACCTAGGGATAGTTGCACTTTCAGCCCTACTTCCGCCGCCGTCACGCCGAGCAGCTCGAGGCCACCAACGGCGTCGAGCCCTTCGGCAAGCTCAACGCCGTCGGCCGGCGTCGGTGGTGGGGCGTGCCCGGGCGCACGTTGGAGGCCGTCCTCGAGTATATCGAGGGCGGCAACACGCCGCGCCTTGAGTACCCCGCTCCCCCGTCCTTCACACGCCGCCGGGAAAGCTCCTGGACCCCGAGGCGCATAGAGACCGGAGGGTCCTCCTCGTCCGGCGGCTCCCCCTGCCTCCACCTCCGCCCCGTCAAGCCGGAGCCCCAGGGCGCGCCTGTCAGCGCGCGCACCCGCAGCTCGGCGTCCGCATCGGCGACAACGCCTCCCCCACATGCCTCTTCGTCCTCGTCGAGCCCAAGCCGAAGCCCGGCCTCCCCGTGGAGTACGAGGAGATAGCCCGGCGTGGCTTCTCCGACGAGGACGCCCTGCGGTGGGCGCGGGACAACTACCTCCGCGACGAGATGGTCCGGCAGCGCCGGACCCTGGAGGAGATCGCCTCCCGTAAGCGTGGGCGCGAGGACGAGCACGACGTCGTGGTCCTCAGCGACGACGATGACGACGCCCCTGGACCGTCCAACCCGCCGCGCCAACCAGGAAAGGGATGCAGCAGGGACGGTGGAGGCGTCGGCGGAGGCATCGGCGGGGGCGACGACGGCAGTGACTACACGCGGTTCTACCGCCTCCTCGGCATGTAAAACCGCGTGGGCGGGCGGCGAGGCGGGCGGGGAGGGAGACGGCGGGTATAGCCCGCGGTAGTTTTTCCTTTTTTTATAAAGTATGTTTAAATTTGAACGAACTCGCCGATGTTTGCGTTAAATTTGAGTCGTGTTTGCGCCGTATTTGACTTTTTTTAAATCCCGTGGGGGGCCGCGACTGGGAGACATCACGCCCTCAGTGCGCGGTTTAGCGCCGGTGCGTCCTCAGGGGCGTTTTTTGCCCCTCCTGTGGGGCCAACGGCTGGAGATGCCTTAAGGCACGAGAGGAAGCGGTGCCTGGGTCCATACCGAGACGCGTGGCGATCGTGGGGAGCGGCTGATTTGTTCCCAGAAATCAGTCGGGCAATTTAAAGAGATTTCCTTCGTATATAGCCTGGACTCCACAGAAAAGCTACCGGAAAAAAAAACGGGATCGATCGGATCCGGAACGAAGTAGTTGAGAGATCTTTCATAAATTGGAACGGACTCGTCCTAAGATCTCTGTGTAAAGAGGACGTGTATCCCACGACGATGGCCGCGTCGGGAGGCTCGTCCGGCGGGTGCACATGGCCGGACCTCCAGCCGGAGATGTTGGGCGTCGTGCTCTCGCGGCTGCCGTCGCACGGCGACCGCGTCCGCTTCGCCGCAGTCTGCCGCCCATGGCGCTCCAGCGCGCGGCTGCTGCGTCCGCTACCCCCGCTGCTCCCGTGGCTCGCCCTCTGCGACGGCACCTTCCTCAGCCTCCCCGACGGCGCCGTCCACCGCCTGCCCGTTGCGGACGACGGCGTCTCCATCCGGGCCTCCACCGGCAGCAGGCTCTTCCTCGTGCACGGCGACGACGAGTGCTCCCTGACGAACCCTTCCCCGGTAACGACGACCCCTGTCCCTGAGGCCGCCGGCTGGTTCCGAGAAAACCCGACCGTCCTGAAGGTGTTAATGTCCGATCACCTCGTCGCCGCCCTGGTGGAGTCCAAAGGCATCTACGGTTCCACGACCACGAAAGTCATCATCTCTACCCGTGGGCAGCCATGGGACACCACGAGGTGCTCCACGACGGAGTGGGCGGCGCCTGAAGACAGCTTCGCCATAGATATTGCGCTCTTCAAAGGAAAGCTCTGCGTCCTCCTCGACACAGTCCTCCTCGACACAGGAGACGAGGACGAGGGATATGGACACGTGAGCTTCGAGCAGACAACCATCCAGGGACGCATGAGCTTCGTGTCCTGGACGACGGCCACGAGCAGACAACCATCCAGGGAACCCCAATCGCCGGGTTTGAGGACGACTTTGATCCTTATGAGACTGACGCGTACGGGCAGCGGCACTACCTCGTCGTCTCCGGCGATCGGCTGCTGATGGTGCAACGATGGATCAACCTGCCGCCAATATTTCCAATCGACTCGGGGATCGAGAAGCGGACTCGACTCTTCAAGGTCTTCCAAGCAACGGGCCTGAGCAGCGGCTGCGGACAATGGACCGAGGTCGATAGGTTGACAGGGTGCGCGCTCTTTGTCAGCGAAGGCTGCTCGGAGTCTCTCCCAGCCGGGGGTCAATCTAGCGGCGTCGGAGTTCGAGAAGACTGCATCTACTTCATGAACGGCGACACTTGTGAGAATCCCTTTCCAGACTCCGGCGTGTACAACATGAGAGACCAGACAGTGGCGCCGTTGCTGCCGGCGACGGTGGCGGTGCCCGCAGCCGGCTACGGTCCATGGTCTCCAACTTGGCTTTTCCCAGAGACTTGAGTTAAGCTAGGTGGGAGGTACTACCAGTTAAGATTTCCTTAGATGTTGTAATATGTATTGGTCACATTTTTATCTTATTCACAATACCCATTAGACACTTCTAAAGCATATGCTCGAGACTGAAGAGATAATCTTCTGTGTGGTATGGGGATATGGAATTGAATCCAAAACTAGAGTCTGCAGATCTGCACAGGCAGGGTGTAGAGCTTGTGCACAAGCAGACCCACAGAAGCAAGGTATGCCAAAACTCCTGTAAAGATATTGGGTATTGCAGTTTTAAGAAAAATATAAACTAGAAAGTTTTTTGCTTTAACTATAGCAACAAACAGTCTCCCCTACTACATGTGATATATCATCAGAAAAGGGTAAAAGGTTCAAAGCTATCAAATGATTTGATTGCGAAATAGTGAGGTAAATATATAGAAACCTAATGTACGGAACTCCAGATATTTATTGGTAGTTTAGGAGGTCAACTGAAAGATGTTAGTGGGTTTTACTTGTTGAGCTGTGTAATCAAATCCATTGAGTTCATATTTCGGATGTTTGCATAGCTGGTTAATTGCAATGTCCAATTTATGATGGATCATGATGAAATGTGATAGTTCAAGACAGAAGTCAGAACCAGTTGAAATTCCAGCATCTATCAGATCAGCCTCCATAATCAAATGCCATAAAAACAAACAATAATCATTGTCGAGTTTGAAATTCCTAATCTTATGCACTTCTATAATTCCTAACCATAAAACTTATCTTACACATGTTACTCAAACTGAATCCTTTAATGTGCACTCTGGTGAAGACGTGAGTTAAGCTAATAAGATTGAGTGCAGCTGTGCAGGTACAAAAACTGACTTTGTATGATTAGATTAAATAAATTGCCAGGATGATGTCATATTAGTTTGCAAACAAAATTTAGAAGCATATTAACTTGCAACTTTGCATCATATAAGGTGTGCTCATTACCAAACACTGTCCAGAGCAACAAGCAATTAACATAGACCATAACTTCTGATGAAAAACAGACTACTGCAAAAGCGTGTTGTAACACATTTGCATGTCATGCTGGAATGTGATTGAGATTCTAAAAGGTTTTCTCCTCAAACATGAGCTACTAGAAGATGTTAATCTAATGTCCAAAAAAGAGATTAATGATTAGATTAATTCACATGCTACTTTTGTGAATTTTTATTTACAGTGACCAAAAGGAATACCTCAGTTACACAAAAGAACCAAGGAATTCTGGTTAGCAATCAATTCTACTTGATTTTTGCTTACAGAAATGTGGTCTATGATTCTGTTGATCTTTTCTTTGGGTAATAAAAAACTTAGGCAGATTATAAAATTATAGTGTAGAATGTTCTTTGACCTAATAAAAAAGGAAAAACAAGGTGAACGTTCTCAAACCTTAATGCAACATCACAAAACAAATACCGAAACTACATTGATAGAGGTGAACAAGAACAGAACCAAATTTGAGACTTCTTACATGTTTAGTCTTGTTCCTCTGCTCAGAGATTACCTGATATTGCCCCAGAAGCACTATCCCACACCTCAATAGACCGATGATCAACTCTAGCCAATGCCATCCTGCTGCCTCCGAAGGCCCAGCTCACGATCTTGGCCTTCTCCTCGCCGTCTGCAGTGACCATCGATGGCCCATTCCCTACCCAGTTCTTCCTCATCGCCTTCTTCTCCCCAGCCTCTGATGTAATTTCCACCTGTGTCCACACCTCAACATATGCGTCCCGTGCCACAAACACCCAATTACGGTAGCACTCAATTCTACAGTTATTCCCGTCCTTCCTGCGAGATGCTGTGGCAGCTCCGGCCCTTTGTCGGTCTCCGATGCACACCCAAGGATCAACACTGGTGCCATCACCACTAAGTCTCCTCAAGTCAGCCATGAAAACCTCACCTGAGGCAGCCCCCACCTTAAACAATGCCGACAGTGAGTCTGATGCAGCAACATCTGCAAAGCAATCCTCCTTCTCCCTCACCTCCCACACCGGCACCGTCGAGCTTGCCCGGACGTCCCACAGGCGTATGTCACCCACCATTCCAGCCGGCCCGGAGTGTGATCCGGCCGCAAGCAAGAGATTGTGCCCAGCAAGCCAACTGAGCTTGGTCGGTGGTATTGCTGCCTCGACGTCCGCACCGAACACCTCCTTCCTCCCGATTTCCAGCACAGGTGACAGAGAATTCAGATCGAACGCCACCACGGCGCTCGAATTCCGTCGCGCGGACTCGAAGCTGGCAAATAGCCACTGTGACGCCGTTTCTGAGGCCGCTGTGGCGGCCATAGACAGCACAGAAGAAGAAGGCGAGTCTGGCCAATATAGAGCCTCCGAAGCCGTGGCAGGGGCGTCGCCCGGGAACCTGCAGAGCTGGACGCCAGGAAAGTCGCGGGCGCCAGCGAGGGCGAGGGCGGGGGACACCGCGACGAGCGAGTCGATGGTGGGGAGCGGCGTCAGGACGCTGGTGCGGGAGGCGAGCACGGCGTCAAAGCTGGTGACGACCCCGCCGTGCGCGGCGACGAGGGAGGCCGCGTGCGGGGAGGGGGATATGGCCACGGCGGAGGGAGCGACGCGGCCGGTGAGGGGAAGGAGGGCGGTGGGGCGCAGAGAGAGGGGGGAGAAGGTGGACGCCGGGGAGAGGGAGGCGAGGAGGAGGCCGTCGAGTGAGAAGTGCCGAGCCTCGGCGAGGAGAGCGGCGGAGGGAGGAGGAGACGCGAGGCGGCCACTGCGGAGGAAGGAGAGGATGCCGGCGAACAGGCGAGGGTCGCGGTCGAGGAAGTGTGGCGCGTCGGCGGGTGAGGGGCCAAGGGAGGCGAGAGGGGAGGAAGCGCCTGCGCGGGAGAGGGTGGCTGCGGTGGTCTGGAAGAGCTCGCCGCCGACGTTGAGGGTGACGACGGAGGTGGACGCCATGGATGGGGATGGGGAATTCTCGGTGGAAGCCATGGGCGTTGACTAGAGTGACATGTTTTTCTCTAGGGGATCGAGCGATTATTTTGGTTGGGCCGAAACATGTAATGGGCCCGATAGTCGGCCGCCGAAAGAGTTCGGATTTCCCCGGGATTTTTCATACGTACATTTCCTTATATCATTAGTCACGAATTTAGAATCTCAATGTTGAGGCTTACAATCTCCTTTCAAATCCTGATGCTCGCATTATTCTTGGATTTATTTCAGGATTTCCGGCGATGCCCTTTTAGTGGGAGGAGACGTTCCCGTCGACGATGAGGCGCCTACGGTGACTTCGTAAATCGCAAGATGATATGCCGGGTCAGTCTCTCGAAGGTGCTCATAGGGATAGGATGTGCGTGTGCGCGTTCATAGGGATGAGTGTATAGGCATGTATATGAGCGCTTGTATTTGTACTGATGCTCAAAAGAAAATCTCCTCAAGCATAGTCTTGCATTAGAATTTGAACGTCATGTTTGTTTAGGCCAACCTAGTAACTTTCTCTTATTCTTGTAAACGTTGTGGACATAATAAAGCTTGCGAGTTTATCTAAAAAAACATTCCCTTGCCCTAAAAAAAGCAATGCAGAATTTTTTTCCCTTTGGTCTTTGGCATCTATACAATTTCCAATATACATTTTCCTGGTTTAGACTTCACTACGACCATCGATATATATATTATTATACCACTTGATTTTTTTAGTTTTGTTGGTTACATGAGTTAGTAAATGTACAAGAAAAAAAGATAAAATTATTTTAATTAGAAAACTGATGACTTTAGTCAGTAGGAAATTTTCCTTCAAAATGACGGTTTGAATCAAAATGTACGCAAACTTAGCATAACTCAGATGATTAGCTTCCCCGTGGTGGAACTAGCACACTCGGATTTAAGACTTAGACTCGACACAGGTACTTGCATTTCTTTTTTCAATTATTTTAGATTTTTTTTGTGATGTTCAGTCAGTGACAACGTTATGGTGACTTCTTCAATCCCAAAATTTGCTTGCTCAATTTCTCGGAGGTGTCCTATAGCTATCTTCCCAATGACATCTCCCCTCCACTGCTAGCAAAGGGTTAATTGCTGATAAAATGGAAAAAACGGAAGACACCCTACATCACTATCCCTCTTAATTTTCTTTGCAAAGCCCCCCACCCGCCCCACCCAATCACAACTCAGTGGATTGGGCCCTTTTGTGGTGCTTTCCTACAACTCTTTCTCATTATCATTCCTTGCGCTTGTCCTCTCATCTTGTTCTAAGAAAAGAACATGTCCTTCAACACAAAAAACTTCACCATGTCACCTCTTGTGGTAAGCCATGTGTCGTACATGTGTGTCTTGCACTCATGATGCACTAGTTTTGGGTGTCATCACATCGTGGCGCGTGGAGATCGCCTTTTATCTTCCCTTAAATTTTCTTCACAACTCCCTAGACAAGGATGAGGCACCACTATGCGCACCATTCAGGATCTCCGCCATGGTCAGCCGCCTCCACTACAAAGGCGGCACTTGAAGTTCATTTTACCACTTTTAACGTGTGTTTCAGAACAAGCGTTCAAAACTTCAAACATGTGATTTGTGAATCTATTTTGTCCTAAAAGTTGAAAAGTTCACTAGTTCTAGCTTGGAGGCTATGATCACTCGCCATTCCGGAGGGTTAGAGCATCTCTAGCCGCGCCCCCAACAAGCCCTCCCGGCTATTTTTTAGCGTCGACGCTGAAAAAACGGCTCAGTCGCATTCCCAGGAGCCAAATTTTCGCCGGTTAGGCCTATACTGGCGGCGGCGGACCCAAGCCGAAAATGGCGCGCTGGGGGGCGTCCGGGGGCGCCGGGAGAATCATTTTGGGCGTGAAAAATGGCGGGCCCGCCGAGTCAGCGACCCCGCGCATCGTCGTCCTCATCGCCTCGATTTCCCGCGGGAAATCAATG